AAATGTGGGTCTGCAGGTGGGTGTGACTGTGTAAATGATTTTGAGACAGTCTGCAGCAGTATTTGGAGGAATATGATGGAGGTCTGGGTGAAAGAGAAGTCTCATTTTTGTGACTAAGAGAAATGTTGTCATAAAGAAATTTTAGAGGCTAACTTTCAGATTCCATTTATAGTCACTTAAGTATCCTGTTTTAACTGAAATAAATTTGATCCCTACACAAAACCACACTCAATCTCTCCTTCTGAAAAACTATTCTGTTTAATAGTGCACTTCAGTTATGCTACAGGATGAGCAGGTTTGGGAAAACACAATGGAAGGCCATCCTTTTGGTTGGGAAAACTCAGGGAGCTCCATCCAACCCAGTAAGGAGCCCTGTCACCAGGCTCAGGCCACAGCCTTTCTTCTCTGGGCTTTGCTCTTTATTTGCATTAATCCTCAGCTGGTAAATAGTCAGAGGTGGAGTCAAGACTGGTCTGGCTGCTGGTGCCAGATGTCAGAGGTGGCAGAGGGCAGGGCAAGCAGGCTGAGTGGGCTCCTTGAAAGCATCCTTAGTAATTAGAGGTTTAGATAAAATCACTTTTCATCACAGAAGGGGAATGGAGGAGAAAAGACAGAACTCAGAGGCCAATGCTGAATGCTTCTGATCCTCGCCCTCAGGTTATTCACTGCCTGGATGGATTTCCCAGCCAGCCCTGTTACAACAGGGAAGGGCAGCGGTCTGCCTACAATATTGCCAGACTACTCTTGGAAAAATGGTCTTGCAGCTCCAAGAGCTTCAATAATACAGTTATCACAGAAAATTTTGGGGGGTCTTTCCCCCCCACCTTAATAAATCCCTCAACGCCAAATCTCTATAATTAATGAAATCATGAAACAAAATAGTATGTTCCTCAGTAAAACTTAAAGCTGGATTAGGAACAGTGGCTTTGAAATACAGCTTCTATTTCCCCTTCCTAGCAAGTAACAGGACCCAGAACATTCTTTACACTGCTTTCTGCACTGACTCCAAGTAGAGGAATCCTTGGAATTTTGTCCCTACTGTGCTTCCATCCCCACTTTGGAAAGGCTTCTCTACTGTGAGGAAAATGGATTAGTGCAAACTCCCTTCCAAAATGGGGTGACTGGTCCCAGAGCTTCCTTCTATTCCCACCATGTGATATGCAGCTGGCCTCATCATTTTCCAAGGCCAGCAGGATTCCAGGCAAACTTCACTAGGCTGCTGATCACTGTGCCAGGACAATTTGCCCAATTTGCCCCATTCTTTAAAGTGAAAGGTTTGAATTAAAAGGGACAGATCATAAATTGTTCATACTATATAGTAAGGCAAGAGCTCTTGAGATTCAGAGGAAGTGAGGAAAACAGATGTGTGGCTCTTTCATGTAGATTCTCTGATATTTAACTCAGCAGTAACTCTGAGAGAACTTTTGCTCATACCCATTACATTCAAAGGCTTCTCTCCAGTGTGAATTCTCTGATGGCGAACAAGAGCTGAGCTATACCTGAAGGCTTTCCCACACTCACTACATTCATAGGGATTCTCCCCCGTGTGGATTCTTTGATGCTGAATAAGGCCTGAACTATAGGTAAACTTTCCTCCACATTCCATACATTCGTAGGGCTTCTCTCCAGTGTGGATTCTCTGGTGCTGATAGAGGTGTGAGCTCTGGCTGAAGGCCTTCCCACACTCATTACATTCATAGGGTTTCTCTCCAGTGTGGATTCTCTGATGATGAATAAGGGTGGAGCTCCTGCTGAAGGCCTTCCCACATTCATTACAGGCATATGGTTTCTCGCCAGTATGGATCCTCTGATGGTGAGTAAGGGTGGAGCTCCAGCTAAAGGTTTTCCCACACTCATTACATTCGTAAGGTTTCTCCCCAGTGTGGATCCTCCGATGCAGAATGAGAGCAGAGCTACAGCTGAAGGTCTTCCCACAATCATTACATTCATAAGGTTTCTCCCCAGTGTGGATTCTCTGATGCTGAATAAGATGTGAGCTCTGGCTGAAGGCCTTCCCACATTCACTACATTCATAGGGTTTTTCCCCAGTGTGGATTCTCTGATGCTGAATAAGGTCTGAAGTTCGATTAAAGCTCTTGCTACATTCATCACATTTATGGGGTCTGTCTCCCACAGGAAGTCTCTGATGGGAAAGGAGGTTGGAACTCACAGTGAAGCTGTTCCCGAAAGCATATTTCTCACTTCTCTCTCCCACAGGGGTTAGCTTTTCCCCAACTGTCACTTGACCAAAATCTTGCATTTTCCTATTTAATCTTTCTCCAGAAGAGTTCCCCAGCTTCCTCTTTAGACTGACTTCTCGTTCATAGGCTTCTTCAAACTTAAGACCCTGAGAAATATCCTTTTGGAATCTTCCCAGTAGCACCCCATGTGATCCTGTGTCTTCAGAAATTTCTTGGTCATTCTCGGTTCTGGTCTCACCATCTGGCACAATAAAAAACACAAATGTCACTTGTTCCTTGTGGAAGAATGAAAATCAGAGGACAGGATAATCACATGATTATAGTGCTAAGAATGCATGCCAGCAAAGAGGCCTACCCATATGTGTGAAGCTAAGGCAAAACAAGGTAACTGGGCTAAGGAGACGGAGAAGGAGTAAGGCAGAAAGCAAAATCTAGGAGAAAAGAGCTGAAAGTACAGAGAAAGCTGAGTTTCTAAGGAGGGGAGGATGGATCAAGCAAGCAGAAAGGCAGAGAACCAAAATTAGAAGAGAAAGATCATTCTGCTTAATGAAGTGACAGTCTTCAGAGAGGTCAGACACAACAGCTATAACTGGGGAGATGGTGACCACAAATACAGGAAAATAAACAGAAGGCTGGTGAGAAAGGTGTAGAAGGGCAAGGAGAAACAGCAGCAGAACAGGAAGGAGTCAGTGCAAAGGTACTAATGACCCCAATGAGTCCTGAAAAGATCATGTTTGTCATCATGCCACATATGGTCACATATGCCAAACCCAAGGAAACAGCAAGACAGAATTTAGTCCACTTCTAGGCCCTACACCTGGAAGGCTATGCTTGCACGTGAGGCTACGCAAACAATCTCAGTGTTTTACTTCTCTATTTTCACTACATTGGAGTTGCTAATTTTTTTTAATGATTTTTTTTTTTTTTTTGACAGAGTCTTACTCTGTCACCCCAGGCTAGAGTGCAGTGGCATCATCATAGCTCACTGCAAGCTCAAACTCCTGGGCTCAAATGATCCTCCTACTTTAGCCTCCCGAGAAGCTGGGACTGAGTACCTGGGACTATAGACTGGCACTATGCATGCCACCAAACCTGGCTAATTTTTTCTATTTTTTGTAGAGACAGGGTCTCGGCTCTTGCTCAGGCTAGTCTTGAATTCCTGAGCTCAAGTGATCCTCCCCCTTTGGTCTCCCAGAGTGCTAGGATTACAGGCATGAGCCATTACACCTGGCCTACACTGGAATTTCTAAAGGGGCTTCAGACATAGAGGATAAGTATAAAAGGTCCAGATAGTTAGCATTTTTAGCTTATGGGTATTTTAAAAAGACAGGGCAATGAGTGTTAGGGACAGGAACAGCTGTTTCTCCCTCACCTGAACAGGTACCTCTCAGGACCTCTCTGTTCTCAGTTCCCTTCAAACCCAGGACCCTCGGCTCTTCCTCTCACTCCAGCTGAGAAATCGTGTCAGGATTCAGAAATGGGAATCCTGCTCATGGGAGAAACATGAGACAAGGAGGTTTATCCTGCTCACACTGAGTGGTACCAGAGCTCAATCCCAAACCCAGGGTCTACAGGGAACAGAAAGGAAATGTACAGGAGGGTCCAAATGGGAGTTAAGAAGACCCTCTGGCACTGCCTGGGAAAACGTTCTCACTAAAAGTGGAACAAGAGACAAGGAGTTAATGGTTTATATCTTAAAGCTTAAGAAGCTAATTTCTCCTTAAAATAAGTTTAAATTTCTATACAGCAGCAAGTACACTAGGTCCTGAACAAAGCACAGGTCCTTAGAAGTAATCCAGCAGAGAAGGGGAGGAGTAGACGGAGTCCCAGTTTACTTGGGCACAGAGCAGCACCTCAAACGTTCAGGGATCCCAACACACTAATACTTTAGAAAAATCTCTGGATTCTATATTAAGTAGTGAGAATGACATGGAAAAGTACCACATTTGGAGTTAAAAAGACTGGGGCTTGAGTTTTGCCACTCACCAGCTCTATGACAAGGCACTTGCGATCTTTGAACTCATTTTCCTCACCTATGAGGATAATACTATCTATCTACACCTCAATTACTGTGTTACCATGAAGATTAAATGAGTGAATATATATGAGAACTCTTTATAAGCTACAAATTGCTGTATAAATGTGAGTTACGATTATTATTGTTATTACAATTTTCTGAAACTAAGTCAATCCTTAGCTAACTGTTTTCAATGGCTAGATTGTTACTAGCAAACAAAGAAGAAAAGACAGACCAGGGAGTTTTGTTGAGAAGGCTCAACTCCTTACCCAGTGAGAACACGTTCCCATAATTCTCCAGCATCACATCCCTGTAGAGGTCTCTCTGAGCAGGTTCCAAACGCTTCCACTCCTTCCGGATGAAGTACACAGCAACATCCTCAAATGTCACTAACTCCTGAAACAACATGTTCTGGCATGCAATTTCAGGGCAAGAGATGGGACTGGTAGTCCCCCCAAAAATAACTCAAGATGGGGCTGAATAATACATATCTGGGAAGTGGAGAAAGGCAGTCAGAGTAGGAGACAAGAGGCCAAGATGGAAGGTAAAGGTCCATTATTTAGCAGGAAAGAATCACAATCCTAATGAAGGCAATTAGGGAATAGGGCTCTAAACGTGATATTGCTACACAAAAAATGTCCTCAAAAGTGGGAAGGAAAAGGATGAAAGAAACCAGAGCTCACCTGGGACTTGGCCTTTAGGAGTGCAGCTGCCAACATCTCATCTCCCAGGCTGTCCTTGTTGGAAAAGGCAGGAACTTTTGAAGAAGGAAGAGCTGAAGGGCAATAAAAGAGGCCAGGAATGAGTCCATCTACTCTCTGGCCTCCTGACTTGCTGACTGCTCAATCCCCAGAAAGTTCACAGGGTCCTGGTTGCTCCCTCTTACATTTCTAAGTTTGCTTCCTCTGCAGCTACTAAAGGTGCGTACAACAGAGGCATATTCAGGGTAGATCCATCCTGCCTGAGCAGAGTCGGCCCAGAGCCTGGTAATTCTTGGTTTCCAATCTGCCCCAGGTCACTCTGATCTCAGTGAAACTACCCAGTCCCATGTTTAGTGATTGCTGGATTCTTGTTCATTTGCCCAAGCTTGGCCAGAAACAGGTGATCCTGCTCATGTTCCTTCCATACACCATGCCCACAGCTCTTCTTACTCTCCCTCCCCAGATCCAATCTATATACCACAGGCACTTCCTGTTTCTGTGCTTGATCACTTATCTTTATCTGTAATTCTTAAGTTTACATATTTGTCTCTTAGAGCTCTGAATCCCTGGAGATACTAGATCTGTTGAATCATCAGACAAGAGGTCAGTGGCACAGCCTATGAAAGCAAAATATATTTTAGTGGCTTCCTACCCATTTTAACCTTTTGCTTGTGTCCTGAAAAATGATTCCTGACAGCTTCCTCTAAGACACAAATTCTGCCTATGAAGTCAATGGTACACAATGCCTGAAAAATGGAATTCAGTGATTGTCACAATTTTCTTTCTTTCTTTCTTTTGCTGACCACACAAAGATGTCTATTGTTACCAGGGGTGTTTTATAGTGCAGTTTTTGAGTGATACCTAGGTATAAATACAGCTCACATCACTGGCACTCAAGAAGTTTGCACAAGTTAAAAAGGATAAGATACAGGCTCATGGAGACCTCTTCAATCCATGGTCTAGGTCCAAGCAATTGCACCTTTATATTCCAAAATCACTCTGTACTCTGAAAGATACCAGCCTTCCTCATCTCCTCAAAATCTTTCATAGAATCATAATTTCTATAGGAATCTGCATATGCCTTCTTTCCTGTTTCAGCTACAGTGAACTTATAGAAAGCTGCAATCCCCAGGGATACAACAAATGCTCCAACAACATGAAACTGCAGACACCTTGCCAGGAGGCCACATGTCTGAGGTTTCTTCAAAGCACTGGAAGCCATGGTAGTTACTGTCCTTGATGGGTATGCCAACCTCAACACGTCCTTCCTGGCTGATGGAAAAATGAACTGTCACAATTTTCTTAATCACACTCAGGACGTTCACAACCGTTCAGAAATGCCCCCATAATAAAACTTATCAAGCTGTCCACTAATTGCTGGTTTCAGTTAGCCTTCCCCACTAGGTTGTGAATTTCTAAATGGCAAGGAGTGTGTCTTACTCATGTCTGGATTTTAGTAGTTAGCCTAGTAGTTGGTGAATGAGAAATTTCAACCGATGATTGCTGAATGACTGAGTAAAAGAATGAGTGAATCCCTATTCCTCACCACTCTCAAGCAGGGCCTGAGGTTCCTGAGATACATGATCAGCCTGAGTTTCCATGGGTAGGGCTAGATGATCCAGTCTCTGGTCTCTGCAGACTCAGCAGGAAGCAGGTTTGAATGAGAATGAGGAAGCACTGCAGAAGCAAAAGTTCAAGGTTCAAAATAATTCAAAAAAACCTCCTGAGTACAGAAAGAGCAGAACTATTTCAGTTAGTACCCAAGAACAGTGAGAGAAAACACAGCAATAGGACTAATCTTTTAGATTCTATTGAATATGTACGCCCACTCCCTGTAATAAGACTACCACAAGGACCACAAAAAGGGCCCAAGTTTCTCAACAATAGCTCCCCCTACACACTAAGTGATGATATTTAAAACACCAAAAAGTGGGCATATATATTGACCAGGATAAAAAGACTAATCCAGGGGTAGGAACAAATTTGTTATATAAAATTTGGATTCAGTCAAAAGGCCACACTTAAGGACCTAGAAGGCCACATGTGGCATTAAGGCTATAAATTCTCCACCCCTGGACTAGTCTCACTTGCTGTGTTTCCTCTCAGTGAGAAGGCAGCTGCCTTCTTTTTATCTCCCTTTTCTCATAAGACATTTTCTTGGATCAGAATATAAGTGGAGACTAGTATTTTTTAAAACATAAGATTCACTATTACTCTTTTATCCCTAGTAATGTCTCTACTCCCCAGTTGTTACCATAATCAAGAGGTCTGTTCTCTGTGGCTTGGAGGATAAAATGTAATATTAGTACTTAGACCAAGGTTTGGATCACAAGCAGAAGTTTCTACTTCACACCTGAAAACTGTGGCAAGATCAATACATGTAGAATAAGTCCAGCAGCCACCAGAGCATCCTTACATTTATGCAAGAACATAAGGAAAAAAACCCTGGATTTCATCTACCTCTCTATCTTTATCTGTTCACTCATTTGCTCATATAACAAACATTTGTTGAGTGCCAACTATATTGCAAGACAATATTGCAAGGAGTGAAAAAAATCAGTAATTCAAAAAGTATTTGCTTCATCATTACAGACTGCTACTCTCACAGGAGCCACAAAAGGAGGAGGGGCCCTATCTCAGAGTCCCTTGAAAGTTTGGAGAACTATGGTCTTTGGGTAGCAAGGGGGTACAGAATGCCCAATACCAATGCCATCACACAGTGGAAAGCAGTGCATCAGGCATAAGCCAGACCCACTGGAAATCAAGGTGACACACACTTTTGCCACTATCACTCTCCCAGCAGGATCCCTTCAACAATTTCTCAGAATCAGCCACCATTTTTAATTATCAACCACCTTTACAATTTCCGGGACTGTTTATGAGCAAATACTCCCAACAAATCAGGTCAGTACTAATTCTCCCTAGAAAGGCAAGTCAAAGACTCTGACTGCAGAGAAAAAGACAATAGTTCCTCCCCACAGCTGGGTTAAGCAAAGCCAGAACTCAAAGGCATATTGTTGAGAACAAGTCCCCAGTGTCTGGATCAGTAAACAATGTTTCTCATAGAAAGAAAACTCTCCATTGTGCCCCACAGCTTCAGGTCCAGGCAGGGCCCTTCCCCTGCTCTGCTGTCAACCCAACTCCCTGAAGCTAATCTTGGAGACTGAGAAAGATAACCTAGCAGTGAGAACACTTCACAGAAAGTTTTACCTGCTGAACTCTGTCCTCCCTTCTTTGGAGTTAGTCCCTAGAAGGCCAAAGTAGCAATTATTGGGAATTTGGCAGCCTCTGTTCAAGATCCTGGAAATTGTGACATTAGTCGATGCCAATGCTGTATGATTGGGGGGGGGAGGGAATTTAAAACATTCACATAAACTTCATTTCTAATACAGACAGAGATAAGAAAAAAAGAAAACATATGTTGATAAATACAAATTACAACCACCACAACTGGTATTTGGGTTGTACCCCTGGAAAGACCCAAAAGGGAACTGAAGGTTCTCTGGGTTAACCTCCACTCAGGGTAAGAAAGCCTCCACTCAGGGTAAGAAAGTTCTCTCAGTTAACTTGCTAGATACTGTACTCTCAAGCACTTCAGCAGGAAGTCTGTTCCACTGTTGCACAGGTTAGCCATTAGGGGTCTTCAGGTGTTAAACTGAAAATCTATCTCCTTGGACCTTCACCTCACAGAAACCTAGTGCCCTATACAGCTTCAATGATAGATTCTTCTTCTATACGACTGTTCATAAACAGTTGAAACCAAATACTGCTAACTCTCCACAGATGTCTCTTCTGGAGAAAAAAATACCTTTAATTCCCCTAATTATTCCAGAGATTACAGGTTCATCATCCTGTCATCCTCTTGTGGAGTTTACATACACCCTTCAGAACGTAAACACCAGCGTGGGTTCAACATCACTGATAAAGCACTATCAAATTAGTAAATCTAATACAACTGAAAATGGGAGCCAGAGTCGGCTGTATCGCTCCTGGAAAATGACTCGATTTACTGGGCTCCAGTGGGATTATTCTCGGAATGAGTTTGCCTGCCCTCCCAGCGGTGGTTCTAACTACATATCCCTCGCAGAACTACACATTCTCTGATCCTCGGACCCACGTAAGTAAAAATAAACTTCCTCTCCTACCACAGGCGCGTATAAGTGTTAACATCAAGTAAATGCGTCTAGAAGTACCGAGCGAGGGTCGTTGTCACCAGCTGTTTTTAAGAGAGGGACTTCTCTATACCATACTGAAACTTTTACACGCTCGATCTGCACGCTGTGTAAGTCACAAAACCAGAACCTGGGCGCCTTTCCTCCCCTGCCCGCCCCACACAGGGTCTCTCTGTGTTGGGGACTCGGGGGGGGGGGGTCCTCCGGGGAAGTGGAGTAGAGGACTGGCTTCGGGGCAGGGAGGGGCGCCTCCCCGCACCCTGCTCCAGGCCAGCCTGGGGGACCCCGCGAGCCACAGCGGCACGGACACCACCCCCTTTCCCGGCGACCGCAGCCCCCGTCTAACCGCGAGCCCCAAGGACGGCCGGACTCACCCTGGGGGCAAGGACGGGAGATATAGGGGGCCGGACACAGACCAGGCCCTGTTGAACCCTGTCACAGACCCACACACCGGGGACAGAACAAAGAACGGAAGTTTCCCCCGTTTCGCTTCCGGGTCGGTCGTTTACACCACCCAGCTCACCCCCATGCCCCTAATGCCCACTCGTTCTGTCTAGGAAAGTGGGAGGTCCTCACCTCTCGGTGGTTGGCTGACTCAGGGCCGCTGGCGAGCCGGGGCTGGACCCCGCGCAGGTGCGGGAGCAGCGGGCTATGGGTCCCCAGCCTCAGGGCGCATGCTTGGGCACCACCGGCGGGGGCGACGTGCCCGCGCTTCTCAGACCGTGTGCCGAAGCGCTGTGGCAAACTTAAGAGTTTTGAATAATTCGTCAATATAAAATTTGTGCCCTTATTTGAAGTTTGTTTCCAAACGAACCAAGGTATTTACTTCACGTAAAAGAGCCCCTCCCCCCCTTTTTTGAGAGAGAGTCTCACTGTGTTGCCTGGGCTAGAGTGAGTGCTGTGGCGTCAGCCTAGCTCACAGCAACCTCAAACTCCTGGGCTCAAGCAATCCTGCCTCAGCCTCACGAGTAGCTGGGACTACAAGCATGTGCCACCATGCCCTGCTAATTTTTTCTATATATATTAGTTGGCCAATTAATTTCTATTTATAGTAGAGATGGGTGTCGCTCTTGCTCAGGCTGGTTTCAAACTCCTGACCTCGAGCAATCCACCCGCCTTGGCCTCCCAGGGTGCTAGGATTACAGGTGTGAGCCACGGGCGCCCTGCCAAGGGCCCCCTTTAAATTACTAAAATCTGAAGAAAACATTCCGGCCCAGAGGAGAATTCACCTAAGAATAAAAACTCTACAGGTGGAAAGAACAGAAAAGAGGAAGCTGCAGATGAAAAAAAAAACTGAGGATGTGTCAGATGTGTGAGATGCTGGAGGGGAATGAGCATGGGTGAGGTCGTGGGGCGCTCACTCTTACTCCCTCACTGGGGGAATCCTCTAAGTTACAGGTTATGTGCAAAATGAAATCTTGCAATATCCTGAGTAGCAAAGGCCCTCTTATTCCTCTTACAGCCCTGCCTGCCTTCTTATCCCAATTTTTACTACACCCAGTATTTATTACTTACCCCCTGAGTTCTGAGAATACAACAGACCTTCCTCTCCATGACTTTGGTTTAAGGACAGCAATTTAAATACCCAGTTCCCATAATGGCCCATGAGGGGAGGGGGGGCTGTTCTAGGCAAAGGAAACAGCCAGTGCAAAGGCCCTGAGGCAAGAGAAAACTGCACAAATGACCAGTAAAACCAAGGGTGGCCTGAGAGGGGTGGGCGTGTGACCCATCTCCTCCGGTCCTAGACCCCTGGAAGAACTTGAGCAAATACCTGGAATAGCTAGGCCATTCAATACACGCAGTCCCCCCCCCCTAAAAAAAACCTGAGCATTTGTTATTTTCTCATCTCAATTCTTTACTCTTCCACTAGTTCCTTCAGCACAAGAAGAACAGGGATAGAGAAGGCAGGGCAGGGAGAGGAGGGAAGAAGGAAGTAGAGTGAGGCTTCTCAAAGTGGGAGGGTTTCTTCAGTAAAAGATCTACTGACAATCCTCAGGGAACAGCTCTTGGGCTCCCAGCACCATCAATTCAATCAACTCTGTTACTCTGGGGCTAATGAGTCAATTTGCAGTTACCACTGGTGTTTGCCCCGGAACCTGTCCCTTTAACTCCCAGCAAGTTCTCCAAAGCCATACTATTCATGATTGTTCTGAGTCTGAGGTCTCCACAGTGCCATGAGACACCAGAGAGATGCTTAAGGCAGTCCACCAAGGTGTGGAAGACAACTATTTAAATTTCCACGTAGTTTTTAACTAAAAGAAAGAAAAAAATAAAGTAAAAAAGTAAGCCTTAGCAAAATTCAATAGAAGGATGGGTACTGATGACCTCAACAGTTTCCAGACAAGGGTATGAGGACCCTGAGGGATGT